TTAAAGGAAATTCCTTCTTTGGATAGGTTTAAGTCATTAGCTAATTTAGTAATGAGTTCAAACAAAATATCTATACTACCTTCTCATCTTTTTAAAATCACTTCATTAAAAAAACTCATTCTTTCACAAAATATTCTTTATGAACTTCCTTTAAATATCTCTACTTTATCTAATCTTACTTGTTTGAATTTGTCACAAAACAAATTATCAAAAATTCCACTTTCTATTTCTTCACTTGTTAATTTGAAAATATTTTCTTTATCAACAAACAATCTTTCAACTCTTCCAAAAAATCTCTCTCATTTAACCTCTTTGACTAGTGTTTGTTGTATTTTATTGATGTGTATTAGAAAGAAAAATATTTATTATTTTGATATTCACTTTTGATAGTTTGAAATAGACCATAATAAGCTTACAGACTTACCAGAATGTATTTGTGAAATGAGCTCATTAGTAACATTGAATGTTAGTGGTAATGATATACAAAAATTCCCTATGACTATAACCAAATTACAAAGATTGAAAACATTAACTGCTCAATACATTAGACTAAAAGAACTTCCTAGCTTTTTTTCTAAATTTCCTTCATTAATCAATTTAGATGTGGATTATAATCCTTTAACATCAATGCAACTTAACTCAAGTAGTTCTATCAAAAATCTTACTTTAGGAGAAGTAACACTCAAATCACTTTCTTTACAAAACTATTCTAAACTTTTCAGATTAAATATTCTTTCTGGTGATATTTCTGAATTAAATGAACTTCCTCAAATGAGCATTATGACTATTGAAAACGTTCATTTAAACTCAATTCTTTACTTCCCTGACGTTAATGAAGTTTCTCTTGCAAATAATAATTTGGTAAATATTCCACAACTTACTACCTCATTACAAACTTTAAACATTAGAAATAATAAAATTGTTTCTCTTCCTGTATTATTTCCTTTTCAAGTCACTCGTCTTGATTTGTCTCAAAATTTAATTTCTACAATTCCATCATTAAATACCGTTATTCGTACTTTATTAATGACTTCAAATAAAATTATTGAATGGCCTAAATCAATGAAAGAATTAACATGTCTTAGACACTTAGACTTATCAAACAATAAAATTCAATTCATTCCTAATGACTATATCTCAACCTTAGTCAACTTGGAACATTTAATTCTTCACTTTAATTATTTATGCTTTTTACCTCCAGCAATTGGTTCATTGACCAAACTTAAATTACTTGGGTTAAGTCATAATAGATTAACTCAGTTTCCTGTTTATCTCGGGACTCAATTAACTTCATTAATGATTTCATCTAACTCAATATCTGTAATACCAGACTATATACGTTATTTAAGTTTGGTTGAAATAGATATTAGTTATAACCAATTAGTAACACTTGGTCCATTATTATTAAATACAACTCTTAAAGATATTAATGTCAGTTACAATCCTCTCCAAATCCTTCCTTCAAAAATAAATCAAACTAAGTCTCACCGTATTAACATTTCAGGATATCCAGTAAGTAATTTAGAGTTACTGAAAGAAAAGCAAGAAGGTCCAATTACTGTTTTAACTATTCAACGTGAGAATGGGACAATGACTTTACCAATTCAAGGTTATGAAGAAATACCAGGACTTAATGATTTGGTATGTAATCAAATTAGTTTCTGTCATAACCAAATTGAATTTGGATTGGCTGAGTGTAAGGGATATCGTGATGAAATGCAAGATTTTATGTGTTTCTCAGAAAATTTTGTTCAAAAAGGTAATTATTTTGCTGCTATCTGTGATGGTCACAGTGGTGTTGTGACTGCTCAAACATGTGCTTCTAAAATTATGATGACTTTAGAAAATATTTTAAAATCAAACGAACAATGTAGCATTAAAGATTCATTAATTCAAGCATTTACTCATATTAACTCCGAGATCATAGAAAAGGGACTCAAAGATGGAACTACTTGTTTGTGCCTTGTTATTACAGAAAACATCTTTTATATTGCCAATACTGGTGACTGTCGTTGTTTATTAATAGGAGATGACTATTTTTTGCCTTTAACTGTGAGTCACAGACCATCAAATAAAACTGAGTACAAAAGAATAAGGGAAAACGGTGGATTTGTTATTGGTAACAGAACAAATGGTGGCTTAGCAGTTTCAAGGTCTTTAGGAGATTCAGCCAATCAACCAATTATTTCACCAATCCCTGATGTTGTTGTGCGTCAAAAAAGCTCTAGTGATAGATATTTAGTACTTGCCTGTGATGGCGTTTGGGATGTCATGAGTGATGAAAAAGTTTATTCAATTATTAAACAATATTCAAAATACCATCCAACCAAAATAGCAAATACTATCAAAGACCTTTCGCTTTGTTTTGGAAGTACTGATAACATTTCTTGTATTGTATGCAAACTTAATTAGATAACTTCTTTTTATTATCTCGGCATCCTAAGACTAAAAACAACTTAACAGAATATTTTCTATTTAGCTCTACAATTTCTTTGTCCTCATGAAAAAGTATTTGTTTTGTTCTTGTTCCTTCCTTTTTTAATAAAAACTAATTAATAACTTAGCAACAATGATATGGGTAGTACTAATTATAAGAATGACATCAACACTGGGTTAAAGTTAAACTGCGTGTTAACAGTAATGTTACTAACAAAACGTAAACGACGAACCAACAGATGAATAAAGTTGAAATTCTTACAAGAAAAGGCAAAAAATTATATCATTGTCAGTTATTTTTATTCAAACAAATTTTTATTAGAAAAAATTGTTATATATTTCATCCTTTATTAAAATACAAAATATTTGTAATAAAAAGAAAGAAAAAAGAGAAAAGTTAGAAAAAGAAAATAATAAAAATAATAATAAAATTTAAGAAACAAAGGAAGTTTATAAAGAGAAGAAAGAAAAGCAAGAGAATAGTCTCAAAAGAGAGAAGAAAAAGAATAACAAAGAAGAGAAAAAATAAGTAAGAGAATAAATAGTGAAGAAAAGAAGATAAGGAAAAGCAAAAAGCACACGAGAAAAAGCACAAAAAGTATAAAAGAAAAAAGAAAGAGAGATAAAGAAGAAGGAGATGAAAAGTAGTAATAAGAAAAAAGGGACAAGAGGATCAATATAAGAAAGAAGAAAATAAAAGAGGAAAATTAATAAAGAGAAGAGACAAAAAAGAAAGAAGAATAAAAAGCAAGGAAGAGGAAGGGATAAAAAGAATAAAAAGAAGAAGTATAAAAAAGAATAAAAAAAAAGGGAGAAAACTAGAAAACAAAGAAATGGGATATAATATTGAAATTCCAAAGGATGATAAAGGGAAATATGATATGAAGAAATTAAGAGAACATTTTATGAAAGGGGGAGGGATAAAAGAGACTTCGATTCATGAAATTAATGAAGAAGTTAAAAAGATTCTTAAAGAAGAAAAGAATGTAATTGAAGTGAATGACAATGGACTTTTATTTGGAGATTATCATGGACAATATTTTGATTTTTTAACACAATTAGAAGATAAGTATTGGGACAAAACGGAAGAAACGAAAATATATCTTGGAGATTATGTTGATAGAGGAAGAATGAGTACGGAAATCATAATAACGTTATTTTGCATGAAAATTAATAATCCAAAGAAAGTCATAATTTTAAGAGGAAATCATGAAACAAGAATGATGACACAAACGATGGGATTTATGAGTGAATGTAAAAAGAAATATAATATTAACATATATTATGAGTTTTGTGAGAGTTTTGATTATCTTCCTCTTGGAGTGATTATTAAAAGAAAAATAGGGAAATTCTTTTGTTGTCATGGAGGAATTTCACCAGAAATTAAGAAAATAGAAGAAATTAATGAAATTAATAGATTTTGTGAACCACCAAGTAAAGGGATAATGTGTGACATATTATGGTCAGATCCTATTACTGAAGAATTTTTAAATGAACATCTAGACTTTAAAATGTATTACAAATCAATTGAATTTATTCCTAATGTAGAAAGAAATTGTTCATACAAATATGGGTATAAAGCAATTAATAAATTTCTTCAAGACAATCAATGTATTGCAATTATTAGAGGTCATCAATGGGTTGACAATGGGGTTGAAATGCATTACTTTGGAAATAATCAATTAACATTCCCACTTTGTTTTACAATCTTTGGTGCAACTCACTATTCTCTTAAAAATAAAGCAGCAGCTATGCTTATTACTGACACAAATATTGATATTAGTAAATACCCTGCTTCTTTAGTTGATAATGATTATAATCCTACTATTGAACATGCTTTAAATTATTCATTAGATATTATAATGGAAGGAATTGGTTCATTCATTAACCAATTTGTTTATTTAACATTTACCACCGAAGACATAGATGATGATTCAAATGATTCAAATGATTCAAATAATTCAAGTGATGACGAACGTAGTTTAAGTGATGATTTTTGTATTTTTGATTGTCCTGAAAGTGATGAATCATCTCTTTCATCTCTTCCACCAATTTTATCTTCTCAATTTAATCCTACTCAAGACTTAATGAACAAAAATGACACTAAAATGCATCAATCTAATTCGTCACAAATTAATATTAATATTAATGATAATAGTCATGACAATAAATCATTGTTTAGATCATTTAATGCTAATGACATGAATAAATTAACTAACAACATTTTACATTCATCAGTTGGGACACAACAACCATCAATTTGTTTGTTTTTCATTATCTTTATTCATTGTCTCGTATTACAAACACTTATTCTTTAGACGAACAACACTTTGTTCAAAAAATCCGTGAAGAATCTATTCCACTAACACTAGATGAACTTCGTGCTAAATTCCTTGAGCTTCAGAGTAAAACAAAGACTACTCTTATTTAATTTTTAACATTTCTTTAATATTCATTTGTTATTTCCTTGAAATAAATAATTTATTAGGTTCAATAAAGTTAAAAGATTTGAACATTCAGTTATTAAAAAGATAATGCAGATGAACTTAAAAGTCAATAAAATAATGGAAAATATTCAACAATATGATTATGACTATCTTATTAAAGTCAGTATTATTGGAGACAGAGGAACTGGAAAGACATGTCTTTCTGAGAGAATTGTTAATGATCAGTTTATGTCAACATATCTTCCACCCACTGGACTTGACTTTAAAACTAAATTTTATTCTTTTGAAACTAAAAAGATAAGAACTTGCTTCTGGGAAATTTGCTATTCTAATCGGTATTGTCCTACTGGGATTGAAGTAAAAGGATCAAGTATAATATTATTTATCTTTGACTTGACTAATTCAGAGTCTTTTGAGTCATTAAAATATTACTATAATAGATTCTGTCAACAATTTCCTCTTCTTCCTCCTATCTTTTGTGTTGGAACAAAATCAGATCTTCCTCCTACTGTCAGTGAACGTCAAATTCTTAAACAACTTAAAAAAATGAATTATCCACCATTATATTATTGTTCTTCTCAAACTGGCTCTGCTTGTAAGGATATTGAATCTGACATTATTAAAGTCCTATCAAATATAATTAAACTACAATATCAACTTTCATATCGTGATGACTTACCTCCATCTCCATCTCAGCACCAACCAAATCCTCATTCCTGTTCATCGAAAAAATGCTGTTTATCTTAGTTCATTCTCTTAATTTGATTCATATCATTTCAGCTCTTATCTTTGTATTTTCGTCATCCTTTCTCTTCACTTATTTCTTACTGACTCTTACACCTTTTTTTCTTAATCACTACATATTACTCTTTCTTCTCTTTTACTTTCTTTTCACTCAAAACTTTACTCATTTTTTATCCTCATTATTACTCTCTATCATGCTTCTCATCATTTCCATTCAGCACTTTCTTCACTTTCTTGAATCTGCTCTTTCTTGTTTACTTATATTGAAATCAATTAAAATTAACAAACAAATAAAATAATAGAAGAAGTATTCAAGATAATATTCAAACTATGCATGAAATAGAAATAAACTAAAAATGATTCTTAACATTCATTAAATAATCAATATGAAATGAAAATATAAATCAATTTTAGATTTATCAACGTGTATCACTTCTCTTTTCTTTCTTTTCTTCTTATTGAACTTCTTTCTCTTGACTTTTATCTTCTTCTTGTATCATTGAATGACGTATTTTGTCTTTTATTCTTTTGAAATTTATGTTATTCAAATACTCATTTTTTGTTGAATAAAATTTCAAAAGTTCATTTTTTGAATCTTTTTGAAAAGATTCAAAAAGTGAATATTAAAAGATGTGTGAGATCAATCTTCACAAATATCCACTATAACCCTAACACAGATTATTATAAATAGAAAAATAATAACATGTACCATTATAACACAGACGGTAAGAATATTCTTCTTGTTTATATACTCCTTTTCTAGTGAAAAAGAAAAATTTAAATATTCAAAAATATTCAGTTATTGAATGTTCCTATCAAGCAGTAATTTCAATGAATAAATAAAAATGTGTAAAATTCATATCTTTAACGTGTTTTATCTTTTTTTTGTCCTTTATGAGTTATCATAAATTTTTGTTATTGACTCATTTAAAAATAAAGAAAAAAATATAAATGCTATTACAAACTGTTTTTAAACGCTTTTTTAAAATGTACAATTATTGAACATTCATAATTTTATTTTTGTTTTGAAATAAGATAATACTGTATGTTAGGGGTTGAATTTTCTTTTCTTTACTTAATGAAGAAGACTATTTAAACTGAAAATTATATCTTATAAGTCAGAAAATATGTCTCTTAAATCTATTGAACCAAAAGAAATTGAGTTAGAAGGAGAAGATACAACTTCATCAGATGATGGAATATTTGAAACAGACGATGTTGTTAAATACGACAAAAGTCCAAATTCAGTTGTTAAATTCTTTAGAACATTGTTCTTTAGAACTTCAATGCCTCAATTATTAAAAGGGAGAAAAGGGAATTTAAGAGTTTCTGATCTTTGTCCAATACCAAAAACTCTTATATTAGAAGGTTATGAAGCAGAGTTAAAAGAGAATTGGGAAAAAGAAGCTCTCTCAAAACATCCAAGTCTTTTCTTGACTATTTTTAAGAAAGAATGGTATCACTTTTTATTTTCCTATATTCTTGTTTCTATATATGAATTATTTTCACTAGCATTTCCATTGGAATGTCAATATATTGTTAAATGGTTAAATAAAGAAAATCCTCCAACTTATATGGCTGCTGTTTTTATCTGTCTTGCTATTGTATTTCAACTTATTGTTTGTTTCTCTCAAGAGTTTGGAAAGAAATGGATATTTGTTAGTGCATTAAGAATAAGAAATGGTCTTACTGGTCTTATTTATGATAAAGCATTAAAGTTAAATGCTTCTGGAATAGAAGAGCCTGGAAGACTTGTTAATTTAATGGCAAATGATGCGTCTGTATTTATAGGAAATATTGAATATGCAGTTTTTGGTTTAGCATCTCCAGTCATGTTTATTGTTCTCTTTGTACTAATTTATATATATATGGGTAAATGGGTTTATATTCCATTGATTGTATTTGTTGTGTTCAACATTATAAACTTTGGATTTGGTTTTCTTAGTGGATTTCTCTATAATAAATTTGTACATGTGAAGGATAAAAGAGTATCTTTTATGGGAGAAATTCTTCATAATATTAAGTTTATTAAATATAATAATTGGGAGAAACCAATGAAAAAAAGAATTTGGTGGTTGAGAATTATTGAAGAAATCTGGCTTATTCTTGTTGGATTTGTACGTTCTTCTTTCTATACTATTACTATTGAAATAGGGGCTATTCTATCACTATCAATGTTTGTTACTATGGTATTATCTGAAGCTGAATTACAATTGGCTAATGTAATTACAACAATATCTTTATTTAATTCAATCAGAATCCCAATTCGTACAATTGGTATGGCGGCTACTTGTATATCTTCTATTAATGTTTCTCTTGGAAGAATCAAAAGATTCTTATTAAAACCAGAATTACAACCAATTCAAGTTGTTAACAAAGAATCAGAAAATGCAATTGAAATGAATGACGTTAATTATATTTTCCCTGATGGAGAAACTGCATTTGCTTGTGATGAACTTAAAATTAAAAAAGGAGAACTTGTATGTGTTTTAGGAAGCGTTGGAAGTGGAAAATCATCATTCTTATTAGCACTTTTAAATGAATTAGAGAAGAAAAAAGGAGAATCTTATCTTAATGGTAAAATTACTTATTCATCTCAATCTGCTTGGTTAATGAATGCAACTGTTAGAGAAAATATATGTTTCTTAGCTCCATATAATAAAGAAAAATATAAACAAGCAATAAAAGATGCTTGTTTAACTTCTGATATTGATAATTTAGTTGGAGGAGATCAATATGTTATTGCTGAAAAAGGATCTAATCTATCTGGTGGTCAGAGACAAAGAATTGCATTAGCACGTTCATTATACAATTCACAGGATATCATGCTTCTTGATGATCCTTTGTCTGCTGTTGATTTCCATGTTGGAACATATATATTTGAAAATGCAATTAAGAAAAGTCTTGGAGGAAAAACTAGAATTATAGTAACTAACCAAACATATTTCATTGAGAAAGCAGATAGAATTATAGTAATTGATGACAACAAACTTGCATTTAATGGAAGTTTAGAAGAATTAAAAAATAGTAGTCTTGAAGCATCTCAATTTATTAAGACTCTTTCATCCAAAAAGAGTGAGAATAATGAAGAAAATGGTGAAGTTATTTCTGGAGATAGTTACAACACTAAAACCAGAGAAGAAGGTAAAGAATTAGGAAGGGTTTCATTTAAAGTATATTGGGAATATATTAAAGCAGGTCTTGTATTTCTTGGTGCAGCATGTATTGTATTTTTGTCAGCCAGAATTGTTGCATTATACTTCTACAACACATTCTTAACTAAATGGGGAAGATCTATTAGACCAAAACTTGGATTGCCACAAGGAAATAGAGAAGAATTTAACAAATTCTGTTATACATTTATTGCTGACTTCGTAGGAGTTTATCTAACTGAAATATTCATTATATTTTTCTGTATCACATCATCCCATAATATTCATAAAAAGATGGTTAAGAAAGTGATGAATGCTAAATTAGGATTCTTCGATATTACTCCAATTGGAAGAATTCTTAATTGCTTCTCAAGAGATTTCCAAAATATAGACTACGCATTAGCAATGTTTACTGAACCATTGATTGTTAATGTTTCTACAATTGTTATTGTGGCTATTACTATTACTAAAGCCAGTATCTATTTAGTTATTTTAGTATTGGTGATAGTCGTAATTTTTGTAGCATTCTATATATTTACTTCTAAACCAGTCATTGAAATTCAGAGACTTGAAGGAGTTTCAAGATCTCCTATCTTCGTTCATTTTGACCAAACTTTAATGGGACTATCAACAATAAGAGTCTCTAATGGTCAAAACGAATTCAAAACTAAGTTAATTGATAAAATCAAAAATAACACTATGGCGTTTTACACTTGTAAGATGGCTAAATTATGGTATCTTCAAAGAATGGATTGGATTGGGGCATTTATCATAGTTATAACAACTACCGTTATATGTATTACCAAGATAAATAAAGGAATGGATCCTTCTACAGCAGGAACTGCATTAACTAATCTTACCAATATTCCAAGTACAATCACTACTCTTGGTCTGGCTATTTTAGAAATAGAAACTATTATGCAATCAACAGAAAGAATATTCCAATTAAATAAAGTAAGAAATGAAGAATCAGAAAGAGTGAAAGAAAATTATGAACAACCTCCAGATGAATGGCCTTCTAAAGGTGAAGTTAAATTTAAAGATTATAAATTTAGATATAGAAGAGGATTACCATTAGTTCTCAAAGGAATTAATGCATCAATAGAAGATAAAGAAAAGATTGGTGTTGTTGGTAGAACTGGAAGTGGTAAATCAACACTAATGGCTGGATTATTTAGAATTGAAGAACCTGCAGGAGGAAAAATTCTTGTTGATGGAATTGATATTACCAAAGTACCATTACATATATTAAGAAATAGGATGTGTATTTTACCTCAAGAAGCAACTATGTTTAGTGGTACAGTAAGAGATAATCTTGATCCAACAAAACAAACTTCAGATGAAGAAATGAAACGTGTTCTTAAATTAGTAAATAGTGTAAATGAACTTGATGATGTTGTATTAGAAAATGGGGATAACTTCTCACTTGGACAACGTCAAATTATATGTTTAGCAAGAGCATTATTGAAAAAATCAAAGATTTTGATTATGGATGAAGCTACTGCAAATATTGATATTCAAACTGATAAAACAATCCAAGAAATGGTTAGAAAGAACTTCAATGAATGTACAGTGATTACTGTTGCACATAGATTACAAAGTATTATGGATGCTAATAAAGTGTTTGTATTTGATAAAGGTGAATTAGTAGAAAATGATTCTCCTTCTCATTTGATTGATAATGAAAATACTATCTTTAATCATCTTGTTCAACAATCAGGTTGTGCTGATGAATTAAAGAGAGTTGCTAAGAAAAAGACAACTATTTTTGGATCTAATTTCAATAGAAATATATTAAATGAGTCAACTAAATCATCAGAAGGTAATGATGAATTAAAACCAGAACTTGAATTAAATTTACTTAACAACTCAAACAATGCAACACCTGTTCATTTTGAAGAAACAAGTGACCGAAATGGAAGTGAACGTCATCTTCTTTCACCAGTTGTTGTAGCATCAAATGAAAATGATTTATCTTCTCCAAGTGAATCTTCTTCTTCACAATAAACTTAATTAAAATAGTTTTGTTGAATATGTTTAATCTTTATTTTGAACAAAATTTTGAACAAAATGATAAATTAAAAACTTCTAAAATTATTTAGACATATCCAAATAAATGTCATTTTCACCTTTTTTAATAATTTTATAGGATGTTCTAAAACAAAGAATATTCAGTGAAACAAAGACAAAATGAACAGTCAAGTCTTTCTTTTTTTCGTTTCCAATTTCTTCAACAATACCATCAAGGATGGATTGAAAATCAATAATATCTCCTTTCCCTGATTCTTTCCACTTTTTTAATACTGAAATAATTGCTTTTTCTGCTCCATCATAATCTAAATTCTTTGGTCTAGTCGCAGCAATAATCTTCTCCATATTAATCATTCTTGGAATTGCTACAGAAGTAAATCCTTGATTCTTTTCAATTACACTCTCTTCTTTTTTCTTTTCCTCTTCTTCATCTTCACTTCTCATAAACATCCTTTCATCTTCTTCATCTTCTTCTTCACCTTTTAATATAGACTTACCTTGTCCAATAACTGATTGTCTCATGCCATTCAGTGTTGCTCTATTTCCATTAAGAACACTTGCTCTAGATTGAAGTAAAGATTCTCTCTTTTCTTCTTCAACAACTTCTATTACTTTTTCATCTCCACTACTAAGTCGTTTTAATGGAACAAGCATTAATCGTGAAAATTCATTAATATCAGTTTCATTAAATGTGGGTTTCATCTTTTCAAATAACCTTACTTCTTTTGTTGTGGCTTTCTTACTGAATAATTTTTTAAATGGCTCTGTCTTCATTCCTCTTAAATCAAACATTGTTTGAACTTCTTTCTTTTCTCGTTGTTTCTTTTCCACTTTTGGTTTGATAAATTTCCCAATCTTAGCATCAACACGAATTCTTTTTTGAATCTCTTTAATATTATATAAATTTGGATCAAAATATGTAAATCCACTTCGTGAAACAATTGGTGCTAATAAATCAGGATTACCTGACTGGTCTGGTTCTTGTGTTGGTAATATTTCTCCTCCTTGATCATCAACTGGATTAACATCATCTATATATGGCATTGGTTCATCATTAGGAAGATCCTCTAATAATTTATCTGCAGTTTCTTGTCTTTCTAAAATAGCTTGTTGAGTAGCATTAGGGGTTTTAAGATCATCAATGATAGTACTTATTAAATTATTCTTATCTTGAGTATTCAGTTCAGTTATATTAAGTTGTGATGCATTATTTCCTTTCCAATCAATTTCAGGGTCTTCAAAATCACCATCTTCTTCTTCAATATCAATTATTTCAGCATAGTCACCAGAAATAAAATCCCCATAATTATGTACAACATCTTCTAATATTGATTTACCTTCTAAGGCACTAATTCTTTGATGAAATAATCTATCCTTATGAAACTCTACTTTGTCTGATTTACTGAGAAGAGTATTAGGATGTTTTTCAATTGTTATTTTTTGTATATTTGTACGAGTTTTTTTTGTTCTTCCTTTTTTTTGTGTTTGTTGAGAACTTTGTGTTGCATCATCCTCAGGTTTTTCTGGTGTTTCATCAAAACTACTCAGATCTTCTTCAACTGCTTCAGCCTGTTTAATTGTATCAACAACAGCAAATGTTTTTTTATGCACAGCATCCACTCTGACAGAATAAATTTGAACACCTGCATCAATAGCAAGACCTGCCTTAGCAAAATTTGCTGTTCCTTGATTTTCTAAGGCTTCTACTTGAATAACATCTTTCATATAATCAATCAATGATAAAGCCCAAACATTCTTTTCATTAACTTTTCTTTGGTCACACAACAAATAACATTCAGCATACATCTTTTTAATTTCTTCATCACTTAAATGTTGTCTTGGAGGTACTATTGATCTTCTGATTGACTGTCGAGGTGCTGGTAATGCAAATGAACTTTTTCTACTAACTGGTTGAATCAATGATTCTTCATTCATCGTTGATTTTTCAAGTAATGATATTGATTGCCTAACGTTTGGTCCTAATGAAACTCTCTTCTTGTCCATATCAACTGTTCTTTATCTGTTTCAGTTTTTTTTCTTATTTTTTCTCTTTTTAAATCTTTCTCAAACGTTTTTCTAAAAATATAAATATGACTCAACCAAATAAATTATTTGATTCTTCTCTTCAAAGTCTTAATCAATTAAATAACTTAAATAATTATTGTTGGATAATTCTGTTTTGTCTTCAAAGAAGTTGTTATAATATACTCATTAAATAATGTATTAAAACTACCATCCAATAAATTATTCTTAAAACTACAAATTAAATAGAGTTGATAAATGACAGATTATTAGAGTATTATTTAATACTATAAATTTATATTCTAACTTATAATTTATTACCAAGTCCCCTCTCCAAAGAAATTTACAAACTTATCTTTGAAAAAAAGCTAGAAACTATTCTTAATGATTAATTAAATCTTTGTTAATACTTAAATTTATAGACAATAAATAATTTTGCTTTTTTCAATCCTTTTTTTGTCCATTAAAGTTTCAAGATAAAATAAAAACATATATTTATATTCATTTAAGTAAAAAAATATTATATTATTAATTATGTTATTCTTTATCTAATTTAAAATAAGATTCATTTCCTTATCCTTTTTCTAATTAACTCTTTGTTTTAAGTTTTCATGCATACTATTTATTTAATTGATATTACCAACCTGACTCATACAAAATAATGATAACTTCTTATTTTAAAGGTTAGACTATTAGTAGTTTCATTATATACTTTAGTCTTTAAAAAAAATAATGAATGAGTCAAAGTTTAGGTTAGTTTCAAAAGAACAGGAATGATCTTTTAATTCTTAATTAATAGAAACAACAGATGACTAACACTGAAATTGAAAAAAAATTTCTTGTTACCTCAACTGAGTTTCTAAAACAACCTCATACTCAAAAAAAACTTCTTCAAGGTTATCTTTGCTCAGAACCATCTCGAACAGTCAGAATAAGAACTGATGGGATGTCTGGATATATTACTATCAAAGGAGAAACTCATGGGATTACTAGAAAAGAGTATGAATATACTATTCCATTGAAAGATGCTGAAGAATTAATTCAAATGTGTAATGAAAAAATAGTTAAAACAAGACATTACATTCCAATGGGAAAACATACATATGAAGTTGATGTATTTGAAGATAAAAACAAAGGTTTAATAGTTGCAGAAATTGAACTAGAATCAGAAACAGAAAATTTCATTAAACCACAATGGCTAGGAAAAGAGGTTTCTCAAGACTCAAGATATTACAATAGCCAATTAACCAAAAAACCATATTGTGAATGGACTGAAAATTAAACCATTTTATTTTCATAAATAAAAAAGTAATGTAAAAGTTGGTTGTTATTTTTAAATTCAATTTGAGATGAAAACGCAGATATTTAAAACGGCACTTAAGCATCACTTTCTTTAAGTTTAGCAAGTTCTGCTTCAATACGAGCTAACTCATCATCATCATTATCTTCAGCCTCCATTTTCTTTAATTCCTCTTCTTGACGACGAGTTTCTTCTTCTAAACGTCTAAGTTCAGCTTCTTGTTCTTCCTCTTCTTTTTTCATTTCTTCTTCTAATTTTCGTTGTTCTTCTTCAAGTCTCTTAATTTCATCATCTTCATCAACAGCTTTAGTTTCTACTTTTGGTTCTTCCTTAATTGCAGTCTTTCTTTTAATAGTCCTCTTCTTTTTCTTTCCAATAGCTGGGTCAAAAATAATTTCTTCAATGGTTTCAATTAAAAATCCTCCTTCTTTATGTGAGTCAACTGTTTTACGTGAAATTAATTCGGGCTCTTTAGAGGTTGTTGGTTTTGGTTCTTCCTTCTTTACAACTGGTTTTCCAGTTTGTGGTGGTGGTGCTTTCTTTTCTCCTGTATAAGTACCAATACGAGTTTGAACTGGACCACGTACTCCTTCTGGTGGAACCCAACCATCAGCTTTCATCTTTTGGAAAGCATTTCTTCCACAAAGTTCACAATATGGTTTTTCATTAACAGCCAATGCCTTAAAACGTAATGGTTTATTACATCCATTACATTTAATACAAGTGTCATGATAAGGGTATCCACAAAATTCATAAGCATATACTGATATTGGCTGTCCACAAGCAGTACATTTTGGTAAAGCATCAATAGCATCTTGTTTTCTTTTAGCAGCTTCTTCTTCTTCTTTTTTTTCTTCCTCAAGTCTTTTTCTTTTTGCTTCTTCAAATTTTTTTTCATCATACCCCTCATAATTTCCTTGAGAGTATTTCATTAATTCAGCTGCAAATAAAGTCACTGATTTAGTGTCTGGTTTTTTCATTAAGAAGTCTTGGGGCTCCATATAAATAATAACTCCATGTTTTTTTAAGCAGTCAAAAGCAACTTGCATATCTTTAAGCTATTGTAATAAGTACTCAAAACTCATCAAAAATATTAAAAAACAAACTGGCTCTTTAAAAGTCATTGAATTGTAATCAAATTCTTTTGGAAATAATGAATGAATAATGGCTGTAACAACACGTCCATCATTCCAACATGAACCAAAATCAGTTACGTTCAAATTATAACAATTTGCACGCATATTTGACCACATAAGAACAGCTTCTTCACCAGTTACTATATTTGACATTTAGATTTCAAGTTGAATATGCAGTTGTTTTTATATCTTTTGAAAATGGAAAAAGGATTTATCTTTGGCGTTGAACTGTAAAATAATAAATTAATTTTTAGTAAAATCAAGAATATTATATGCTTTTGGTATTTCAAATATTTCTTCATTTGGAGAAACTGCTTGATAGTCTTTAATATTTGCAACAATACTTAATGAAAAAGCTAAAGGTATTTCTATACAATAAATAATTAGTTATTTAAAGGAGAATATGTTTTAATAAATAACAAACTAAATTGAAGAGGAAACCCAAAGTCATTAGTTAAGTTATTTCTTTCAAAGAAGTCTTCAAAAGCACTGAAATTATCAAAGTTTTTAGATAAGAATTTCATAAGAATTTTAAATTCTGATAATTCTATTGATCCTTTTCCAATCCACATTTCTGCTTGACAAGTTTTTTTTCTAAGAATTTCTTTCTCATTTTTTCTTAATAAAATATTATTTTTAATGTGATTTTGAATATATTCATCATCATAAATTTTAGATTTAAAATGTTTTGGTTTTTGAATAATAGAAGGTAATTCTCTTGTTATTAATTCAGCCCAAAAAGGAGTAACATTATATACTTTACAATTAATTCCATTTATATTCTCATTTCTTTCATATCCAAGTAATGTTTTAGCTTCTTTACAATCAAATATTATTTTTGTTTTCATCGTTGTAACATTTGTTTTTAGTACATCTTCAATTTTTAATTTTCTTTGTGTTCCACATCCACATAACTTTGTAACAGTTTTTTCATTATGATTTACAAAAATAACTTCTCCTTTTTTAAATTGGTTTTTATCTTCTCCAAAGAATATTAATGACCCATTTCCTTTTTGAACGGTGTAATGACTAAATCCAATAATATTCATATCTAATCTTAAATTTTTTCCTCTTTTTCTTATTACATTATTATCAGATGGAAGTAAATATGTCCCAAGAGGAATCCATGTTTGTAATTCCCAATGAAGAGTAAATTGAAAGTCATGTAATTCATTTAGGGTTTCTGCACCATCTATTACTCGTTCATCATAAATTGTTTCATAGTAATTATATGTTTTTTCATATGTTATTTTAATTATTTGTTCATTTCTTGTGCATACTGCTTCTTGAAATGCATTAAATCCATTTTTATTTCTTAATAATGGATCAGCACCATGATCAAATAACCATTGAATAACTTCTATATTTTGCATATGAATAGCGTAATGTAATCCAGGAATTCCATAACAATCAAAATCATTAATATTACAATGACATAACATTTCTTCTTTTAAAGGGATGTTATTAATAATTGCCCAATGAACAGGAGTATATTTGTTTATTTGTTGAGTTGCCATTTTAAACTAAATATAAAAAGATTAAAATGAAACTAACAGAACATTAAAAAAAAACAAAATTCAAATTAGAAGATATTATGATTCAATAACACCAATCGTTCTGATGCCATAGGACAATCATACAAACTTGCCATTTGAAATAAATTTCTTGCTTTGTTTACATCTTTTGGAACTCCATCTCCATTTAATGAACATTCACCTAACATATAATAAGCTTCTCCAACTTTTTTTTTAGCCAACGATTCATAAATCTGAATTGCTCTTGGTTTATCTGCTTGAATTTTATCTGATCCATGTAATAAGATTCCTGCGATTTTTAATTCTGCTTGAATTGATCCATATTTTGAAGCTTCAACAAAAAATTCCATTGCTTTATCTACATCTAGAGGTTTACCAATTCCTCTAAAGAAACACATTCCAATATGAAATAATGCTCTATGATTATGTAACTCAGCTGCTTTAGTTATATATTCCATTGCTAAAGTTTTATCTTCAAATACATATTTTCCTTTATAATACATTACTCCAAGAATATATAATGAATCAGGATGTTTTTTAAATGCTGCTGCTTTAAATAAATCAAATGCTTTAATTTGGTTTTTCTTTAAATTACCAAATCCTTTATAAAAGCATAATCCATAATTATACATAGCATCAGCATTTCCATTTTTTGATGCTTTATCAAGCATGTCTAATGCTTCGTTAAGGGTTTCTTCATTTTTTGTATAACGATATTCATCAAGAAGTAATTGAGCATATTTTGATTGAGCCTCAGAGTTACTATTTAATGAAGCAATTTCATAACACTTTTTTGCATCATCAATACTTTTCTTAACGCCACATCCCCATAAGTAACATAAAGCTAAATTTATTTGTGCTTTTTGATTTCCCATTTGTGTAGCAAATAAAAATAAATGAAAAGCAAATTGGTCATTCTTTTCTACTCCATTTCCTTTATAAAAACAACTTCCAAGATTATTTATTGCAGTTGAGTTATTTTGTAGTGCAGCTTTAGTATACCAATAAACAGCTGATTTTTCATCTTTTAATGTTCCATTTCCATTAAAATAACAATTACCAAGTAATAATTGTGAAGGAATATATCCTTTTTTTGCTGCTTTTAATAATAATTTAATTGCAGTTTTCTTTTCTTTTTCTGTTCCTTCACAACCTTCTCCATGTAATAAACAATATGATAAATTATATAAAGCTTCAACATTTCCTAATTTTTTTGCTTCTGAAAACATTTTAAATGATTGTCGTTTATCTAAACTTCTTCCCCATCCTTTAAATAAGAATACTGCTTGATTATTTAATACGTCTGGTTTTAGTTCACAATTTTTTGAATTAAGTAAATAATCAGATAACGTCTGAAATGTTATTTTATGTTGTTCCTGTGTGTGATGAGGTGTTAATTGACATAATGCTTCATAAAATAAAGCTTCTTCACAATTAATTTTTTGTAATTGCACAAAAAGAATATCAGCGTTAGTAATATTTTTTGGAGTTCCAATTCCTAATAATTGTGCAATTGCATATTGAAATTTACATATAGGAAAAATTGATTTTAATGAAGCAAACATTTTAATAACACATTCAGGAGAAACCATATATTTTTCATTATTTTCCATTCTTAATACTTTTCCTTTTGAAACTTGTAATGGAATTTTTGTTGGTACTACTCTACATATTTTTTGCATAAATTCTTCAAAATTGTCAGATTCATTTTTTTTGTCATCAATAATTAATATTCTTTGATTTGCAATATCTTTAAGTTGATCAACAAGAAACATAATTGCTTGCGGTTGATTTTTACTTGCTGCTTTAATTAAAAGGTCTCTTCCTTTTCTAATAACATTTTTATCATTTGATTTAAAAAAATAATCACCTAATAAATATTCTTTATCTCCATGATTTTCAATTGTTGTTTTATCATTTTCTAATATTTTAATTGCTTCTTCAACGTCAATATGATTTTTTAATTTTAAATATGCTAAAATCATTTGGTTTTGTGTGTCATACTTATCAATTGATTCAACAACTTTAATAACAGACTCTAATAAATCAAATGGTTTTCCAAGTGAAAAGTATACTTCTTTTTGTTCAATTTCAACTACTTTATTTGATGACAATATTTTATATTCTTTTCTAATTTGTTCAATATGTTCTAAACATGTTTCAATATTTGGTCGTTTATTTTGATCTAATTCACAGCATGAAGTAATTAAACTCCAAATATTATCAACAATTAATGGATGTTTTGGAATAGAATTTCCATGTGACATAACTTTAGAAATACTTTCATCATAAGGATCAATTTTAGTAAATGAAAAATACATTGTCATTCCCAAACTATAAATATCACATGGATATGAATATCTTTCATTTCTAATAACTTCTGGTGCTGTAAAATTTTGAGTTCCTAACATTCCTGTATGTAGTCCTCCTGAATCAATTATTCTACTAATTCCAAAATCAGTTAATTTAGCATTAATTTTAACAATATCTGTCCAATTAAATAAAAGTATATTTTGTGGTTTAACGTCTCGATGAATAATGTGTTTTTCTACATGAAGATAACGTATAGCTTTTGCTACATCTTCAGATATTTTTAATAATACTTCTTCACTTATTTCTCTGTATTTAGAAAGTAAACAACCAAATGGAGCAAGTTCCATAACAATATTAACTGTTGGTGCTTGTAATGACTCATCTCTATATGAACAAATATATTTAATAATGTAATCATTTTTAAGAAATGCAAATAGTTCGTTTTCTTTTCTCCCATCAGCCATTAATGCCTTTTTAATTGCAACTTCTTCGCCGTTATATTTTCCTCTAAAAATTTTACCCTCTTTCCCTTCTCCTATTTTTTCAATAAGTTCAATTGATGCTTGTTGTGGATTTATCCAATTAGATACTTGAGTTTTATACCTAATAGTTATTTCATCTGACATTACATTTTGTAACAATGATTCAGATTTAACTGTTTTTAAAGGAGAGACAATAATTCTAATTCGAATAATTGTTTCTACAGTAGGATATATCGGTGTAAGTTTTATAATTACTTTATTTTCTGCTGGTAATTTTCTAATTCTAAGTGCTCTTATTGGTTCAATCTTAGTGCTTTTCTCTTCACTTTCAATAGCTTCAAATTTAATTTCTATGTTACTTATTTCACATCTTAACGTTATAGGAATACTATGCATCTGGTCTACTTGTATTGAGCCCAAATCAAAACTTTTTTTTGGTGACACACAGATTGGAATTTTGAGACGAATGAAATTTTCATTGTTTTCACTCATCTTCTTTGTACAAATGAATCTCTGATTGTTTTTGTTTCATTTTTTCTTTCTTAAAAACAAAATTTAAAAAAAATTTAAAATAGATAACAAATTAATTATATAACAATAGAATTTTTTTTTATTATTCTTTGTTTTGTTAAGACTAACTAATTCATTGTTATTATTTATTTGTGTTCTACTTATCTTTTTCTTAAGAACAGGTGTTCTTCTTTTTGAAACTAAACTTTTATTTTCTTTTATTTTATCATTTCCTTTTTATTTAATTTATTAGTCTTATACCTTTTCATTTTTGTATTTTTTTGAGTTAATTAGTTTTTATATCTTATATCTTTCTATGTTTATTAATTCTTCTTTATTTTTATTGATATTTTTCTTCAAATATTATTATTCCATATATTATTGCCATATTATTTAAAGACACTTTTATTCTTTATATAACATATAACATATATGTTTTTATTGTTTACCATTTTTAGTAGTAGTTGTTTGTACAATATCATCTTATGTCTTTTATATTGGATAATAATTTCATATGAATTTTCTTATTTATATATTTCCAATATTTTTTAAGTAATTCATATAAACGCTGTTAATATATTAAATTTCTCTATTTTTAGTTGATATGACAAATACAAATCATTAGAATGTTTTCTATTATTATCATCTTAATTACATATCATAGATAGTATTTTACCATCTCTTTACTCTTAGAATATATAATCATCCTATACTTGATTTTTTTTGATAATAAAAATAGCAAGATTTAATTATTCTTTTTTTGTTCTTTATTTTAAACATTTGTGTTTTTGAAAAACTTTAAATATACCGAGTGAATTGAGTATCTATTTATTTCCGTGTCTTCTTTCACTTTTAATATACCTCCTGTTCTTGTTAGAAAATACTGACTCTTCTTATTATGTTGAATATTCTTCAGATCGTTCTCTTCAATTAAATGAAACAATTCTTAGATTTTAGTATTAACGTTTGTTGAAATCATATTGTCCAGTTGTTTATAATAGTCAATGAACAGATGAACATATAGCTAGATATTTTTAATGGGAATACATACTCATAATGTACAGTAACAAACTACCTGCACCTCACAGTTACAGTCACTTGTCTTCAATGTAAAATAGTTAATTCATTATCTGATTTATGAACTAACATCTAAAAATTACAGGGTGTTAGTGAAATATATTATATAATTTATATAGAGGATGTAATGATATACAACTTTTTGGTTTTACAACTAAGTCATGACTATTTAGTAAAAGAAAATACTCTAATATATTCCAACTACTGTATGTTATTAAAATGGGAGTTATTGTATTAAAATAGATAAATGAGAAGTTCCATCTTTTTTGTTTGACATTTTGAACAAGGATTAATTATTTACACTTAGATTAGTACTTACAGTAGGTTATGTTAACATGACATGAGATGGATTATAAACAATCTAATTTTCTTCTATAAACAAGATATTCAATTTATGGGGAAACATTGTTCTCCATAACAGAATGTACTATATTATTAGTGAATTAAACACCTAAGTTTATTTGTAGTAAAGGAAATCATTGTGAAAGATTCAAATAACACATAGATAAATTTATTTAGCTCTGGTTTCAGATAGTGAAAAGTGTAGTTCAACTTGAATATATTATCAGACTCTCTAACTTATTATATCCAATGGTTAAA